ATGACACGACTAAGAGAGATGGTGTTGTCTTTGAGGGGACACTGTACTGGGAGGGAGACACAGGTGCATAAAGAGAAGGTGCCAATCAGAGGAGGGGGTGTGAAGATAGAGGGCCCAGAGCGGGCCCATGAGGCCAGGCCAGAGCAGGGACCCGTGGAGCCCAGGTCAGAGGGAGGCCAAGGTGAGCCTCGCCCCAACACATGGCTCAGGAATGACAAGCAAGTGCAGGCGACCCAGGGTGCCAGCAAATAGGACTCAAGGAGGATGTGGGAGAAACGAGGCTGGGGAAAGGCAGGGCCAAGCTCCAATGCACCTGTGCCCCTCAGGCTGAGCGCCTCCATTGCTAATCCAGGGACTCTCGCCATGCACGGAGAGCCAGCACCCTCATGCTGGCAGTGACAGCAAGAGGTCTCTGTCTGGGGTCCCTGCGCAGGCTCTGGCCGGCCGGGCTCAGCAGGGCAGGTGCTCCGAGCCAGACTGGAGGCCACAGCTTGATGCAGGGTGGAGGGGGAGGGCAGAGAAGGGAGGGCACCAGGGAATCTGCCTGGGCCACTGGGAGGAGCGAGGATCTGCCCCCCAGGCACCCCTCCCGCCTTCCCTCCGGTTCCAGCCCAGTGCTTATCTCTAAATCAAGCACACATGAGGCCAGGATACACATCTTCTGGGGCCTCCAGAGAGTTGGAAACCACATCCGTACCTTGGCTTCTACATGAGGGGAACTGCCCAGCGCTGGGGGACGCCTGGGCTCCACCACCTGCCTCCGTTTCCTCCCAGCAGCCTCTGCTTAACACGCGGGATCTGGGCTCTCCTCCCGGGCTGAGAGCACAGCCCGTCGGCTGTTCTTGGCTTGCCCACATGCGCCTGCTTTGTCCCACTTCATTCCTTGCCCTTGTTCTTTCACGTTTCAGGGTCCACGCGAATTCAGCACCACCCCACACCCCAGGGCCACATACACAGCCAGCCCTTTGGTCTACACAGGGTGCAGAGCACGGCACTGGCGCCTTCTCTCTACCTGTGCCTGGTCTCAGCTGGACTCTTTCCCCTTCCAGCGCGTCCCCTCTGTCAGTGCCGCACGCAAGCTGCCCTCGTTCTCCAGCATCAGGCCCAGAAAGGGCTGTAGGGAGTGAATCTGCTCAGGAGCGGGACATCGGATCCCAGGGGCTGGGGGAGAGTCCCCAGAGACCATGCTCTAGGGTGTGGCCTCAGTTTCCCCATCTGTAAACAGGGAGCTCTACTAGGTTTGGCAGATGAAATTATGAAATTTTCTCACCTTTCCTGGCTCACAGCGGCCACGAAGTCAACGTGAGCTACTTTTACTGACTCAGGACATGGCCTCCCTGGGCTGGGTCAGGGGAGGGAGTTGCTCACCTCCTGTCATCTGCTGGAGACCAAGGTCAGGCAGAGCCTTCATCTTCAAGTCCAAGGAGGCCTAGTGAGCACCCTGGGGAAGGCGATCGGGGGGTGTGCCAGTGAGGAGGACCACAGAGCACAGACTGACAGGTGCTCAGCTACTGGAATCGGGTTGACGAGGGAGGGGACGTGCTATCAAGCGGTCAAGGTGCTTGTCGGGGTGATGTGTCTCCTGGAAGGACGCTCTGGCCCACTGCCACCCAAGTGTCTGGACAGCAGCCCACCCCTGTGCTCTCTGGGGTCCCCCAAGCTCCTCTTAGCACAAAGGGGAGCTGGGGAGCTGGGCCAGTCTCTGAGAAGTGCCCCGTGGCACCTGGCTCAGACATATCATATTTACCACAAAGACAACAGAAGAGGACCTTGCCCATCACCAGATGGGTGATGGATGTGCTTCTCCCCCTATATTTTTTTCCCTTGAGGCTTGTCTTTTCCCAGATATTAGGAGTCACAAAATTCCCCCTATCTTTCCCTGTGGTTCCCCATTTCTCCCCTGGGTCCCTCTGAGATCATCTGTCACAGGCTCTGTATGAAGGCTGGCTCAGAACAGCAAGGACATCAACCCCGCTTATACGAACATCTCAGCCCCTCCATGACCTTCTGATGACCTCAAACAGTGCTTCCTGCCATTTCAGACCCTGGCACAGACCTCCTGGGGCCTTAGTAATAGCAGTTAGAATGAAGAGATGTGGCCATGTGTCATTTAATCACTAAAACTGCAACCAAGTTCTGGGTGAGCAAACACTCACAATACCCCCATCTGAATCCGACCTGCAGGGCAGGATGGATAGATCGTTGTCCCCTCACGACTCAGGGTCATCTCACTCCCTGATGGACCCAGTTGCTGAAACAGGATTGAGCGGCCATGGATGCCGGGACGTCAGGAGCAAGCACCTCTTCTGCAGGGCAGGGGACGTGCAGTCTGGGGTGGATGCCACCGCCGGTGCTGGCTCCAGCTCTCAGGGGGCTGGGCAGGACCAGGGAGCAGGCAGGAGGGAAGTCACAGCCAGCTCTTGTGGGGCTTCATGGCTCCGTGTCAGATTTGAGCCTCCACCCTGAGCGAGGGGGACGCCATGGGGGTCCATGGTAGGGTTCAAACAAGGGAGGACAAAGTTTGATCTGCACTTTAGGAAGACAGATGGACCCAGGGACACCTGGGTGGCTAAGCGGGTTAGGCGTCTGCCTCATGGTTTCAGCTCAGGTCATGATCTCAGGGTCATGAGATCGAGCCCCACTTTGGACTCCGTGCTCAGTGCAGAGTCTGCTTGAGATTCTCACTCTACCTCTGCTCCTCTCCCTGCTCTCTCTCGCTCTCTCTCTCACACCAACGGCAGAGCAAGGACTAGGGAAGAGGTTGCTGGAAACAACAGGGCAGGTCACTTCAAAGCTTCAGGCTAGGATGCCTAACGGCACCAGCTTGCTTTCTGACCACGCAGGGGAAGCAGGCTGACTCCTGGGTCCTCAGTTCACATGCCTTGTTCCCCGCAGCCCCCCCACCCCTCCGGGGCTTCAGGGACTACGAACTTCAAAGCTTGTGTTCTAGGTGGAGCCCGAGGTTATTTTGAGACAAAGGCACACAGTGTGTAAGAAAAGAGGTCCCTTCCCCCTTCCCCGGACACCACACACCCCACACTGGCTTGCCCCAGGCTCCCCACGGCAAAGAGGGAACCCCACAGCTATTAGCGTGGGAACTGCTGTGGGGAGGGCAGGGTGGCCCTGAGGCTCCTGTCAGGGCCCGGAGCACAGCAGGCAGAGCTGAGCAGGGACATGGCCACATCCCCACTCGCCTCCTCCAGGCCCCAGGCTCCTATCAGGTGAGTGGGGAAGACAGAGGCATGGGGCCAGGGAGGGCACAGACTTGGTGAGGCTGCCTTGGGTGTGGGGGAAGGACACAGACCCCCACATACAGCAACACCTACTGATGTGTCTGCTGGGTTCATTTATAATTTTCTCCTCTCGGCTTCCAGGTTCCTCAACTACAACTTCCCTTGTCCCATTTTCTGGATGATGTCCCTTCCAGACCTCCCACAACCACAGGTGAGAATCAGGGACTGACACCTCTGAACTGGGCCTCTGTTTGGAGTTAGCATCAGGAGAGTTTGCGGGTGCTTGGGTTTAAGAAATATTCAGCCATGGAGCTCCTGGGTGGCTCAGCCGGTGAAGCGTCAGCTTTGGGCTCAGGTCATGATCCCAGGGTCCTGGGATTGAGCCCCAAGTTGGGCTCCCTGCTCTGAGGGGAGCCTACTTCTCTCTCTGCCTGCCGCTCCCCCAACTCGTTGCTCTCTTGCTCTCAAAAATAAATAAAAATCTTTTAAAAAAAAAGCCTATAACAAATTTTTAAAAAATAAAATAAAAAAAGAAGGAAAAGAAATATTCGGCCATGGCAGTGGTCTATGGGGGACAAAGGGTCAGAGAGGAACAGAAATGTGCTCGCACAGGTGTGTGTTTTGTGTAAGAGAATGACAGAACTGAAGTAGCTTCCTCTAAGTTCGGAGAGAGATGCCCGTGTACCCCGTAACAACTGTCCTGTTGTGCTCCAGCTAGCTAGAGGTGATCTCTGGTACTGGCCATCAGTCTCTTCCAGCTAACATCCCCAGAGCACTGTTCTCACTACCATTTAAGGCATCATGGGGAGTGTGTGTGGGCCCAGCATCCAGAAACCCTGAGTCCTCACCCTGGCTCGCCCAGTGATGCCCTGAGTGACACTGGGGAAACCACTTCCCACTTTGACCCAAACTTCCCCTTCTCTGACTTGAAGGCTGGGCATGGATCATACCCCAGCCCAGTTCAGCCCTCAGGCCTCTATAGCTCTGTTGTCAAGAGCCCAGGTCTGAGCTTTCGAGTTTCATTGCCAAGCCTTTTGAGTTTCATTGCCAAGCAGGGGCTCACTCCATCAATTTGTATTATGCTTGAGACCCTGTGACTGTGAGGTGGGTGACTTGGGCCAGATCACAGCTGTTTCCAAGCACAGACAATGTGCCCACCCTATGGGTTGTGCACTGTACAATTCCAGAAGATGCTGGTCCCATAGACCACTCTGTGAACGGCAGCCTCAGAACTGGGCACCCAGGAGGCCTCACTCCCATCTCCCCACTGGGTACCCCCACTTTATAACAGCTGTGAGAGCAGAGGAGGGTCCGGTTGGAGGTGTGATGTCAGGGTTCCTGCTGCACCACCCACTGGACTGTGTGGGTCAGGAGACTTTGCTCCAACTTGGTTTTCAACTTGTACAGTCAAGGACCTTCCCTCTCTGAGACCCATGTTCTAAAGCTGCAAAATGAGGAGGTGATCTTCATGGCACTTGCCAGCATGGATTCTATAGTAATGACTGCTCAGAATGGACCTCATGTGAGTATAGTCGTATGTTCTCAGGAGCTTCATGGTACAGTTGCTTCTCCAATGTCTGGTGAGACAATGTACATTGTACACAATTGTACACAATGTACATTGTGCCTAATTTCTCGCCAGAAATCCTACCAGCAGTCCTCAGGCTGGGATATCCAGGGAACAAGCCAGGCATGATGTGGGTAAAGTGCTCCCAAACTCTTTAGGGAGCTGAGCTGTAACCCATACACAGGGAAGACGTTTTTACAATGGCCTCTCCATACCCACTGGCTGTGAAAGCTGACTATTGGAAGCCCAAGTCCATTAAGACTAACATGCAGCGACTTCCCTGTGACTCGCACCAGCCCCCAGAGCTCACGGCGCTTCAGACACGGACACTCACAGGTCAGCTTGGATCCCTTGAGGTGCTTTCTATCTTAAAGGATGCTGTGGGGATATTTTACTAGCACTTTGTGGTATTAGCTTCCAATAACAATAGTGACAACGGGGCAAATCTCTTTGCTCATTTCACCGATGGATATTAGAGACCGAGTTTCAACGCCCCAGAGAAGAGCCATCTGTGAGGATGGATTGAGCAGCTGTGATGCAAACTTGCTTATCGAGGTTGCACTGTGTGCTTGGCATCTGTTTCAACCTTCCATTTCCTACTTATAATGTAATGGCCAGCCTTTTCCTGTTACCCAAGGGTAGCAATTTCCACCTTAGACAACATATTTCTTACATATCCTTTGGTAATCATGGACAACTTGATGATTTCCCCTTCTTCTCTATACAAGAGCATCCTGTGCTCTCTCAAATAGAAATGCCAGACTCTAGTGTCTTCCCCGTACACAGGAAACCTGTGGCCAAAGCTCTGCTCAGCAATCTGGGATTGCACATCTCACGTGGCAATGAAATTGGGTTAGTCTTTAAATGCTAGAAAGGAACCACCTCCCGGGGTGTCCCTGGGTCACTCCATTTTTGGAAAAAAAGGCAGGCCACTAACCAACTTCTCAGAGGGGTAGATCACCCAAGGAAGGAAATGTACTCCCAAAATAACATAAACCCTATTTAGTTTAGAAGCCAGACTTTCTCACTATCTCCAGATAACAGCCTTGTGGTGGTGGGAGAAAGGTATTGTCTGCCTTCTTCCAATGATGTCACAAAGATAAGGCACCTTTCAATAGTATTTGTATGTGCTGAGGGTTCAAGCCAGGTGTGCTCAGAATTCCCAGGCTCAGGAAGAGCCCAGGTATTGGGAACTGTCATCCAGGGGTTAGAGGAAGGGTGACTCCCACTGGGAACAGGAGCAGGCAACAAGCCAATGGGTTAGCTGGTGACTGAGCAGACTGAAGGTTTTTGAGAAAACCCTAGGGACAGCTGAACCATGTCCTTCTGTGGGGTCATCCAGATATGGAAGCCAGAGATTGGCTGGAAGGAAGTGACAGACACTATCAAAGGCATTAAACATTCATGACCTCCATCCTCACAAGAGCCTGAGAAGTAGGGAGCATTCCTGCTCTGTAGACACAAAACTGAGACTCAAAGAGGTGAAAGGACTTGCCCAAGGGCACAAAGCTGACAATGGAGGAAACTGAAGTAATCACCCAGGAGAGTGAGTCTCCAAACCACTAGACCCTTGTCACTCAAGGTCTGCTGACAAGTGGCACCTCTGTCACTTGGGAGCCGGTTAGAAATGCAGATCTTCAAGCCCCACTTCAGACCTCAGACTGATTCAGAATCTGCATTCTGTTAAGATTCCCAGGACATGGGTCTGCCTTCTTATCAATGGTCCTTGTGCAATTTCAGGTCAAGTCTCTGCAGCCTGCTTGGGTGGCCACATATTCCCAGGTCAGGAAGGGTCTGTGGAATCTCTGGAGTGGAAACCAGATGATGCAAAATAAGCTATTATGCCTTGAGGAATTCCTGTTCTAATGTGATAACAAAGCACACAAATACAGTGAAGACAAAATGAGAGTTCATGAAAGTCAAAACCATTAGTAGGTGTTGCATCACCTCAGGATTTTAACTTCATGAGCTTTTTGTCCATCTCTCCATCTGGCCATTGCCATTCATCAAAATTATTGAGGATAGAAAGTCTCCAAAGGATACGGGTTATGTCAGACTGTTGTCTCATTTTGCCTACCTGGTCAATGCAGAGGAGTTAAAATAGCACACCCTCAGACTGAAGCTGAGCTCCAAGTTTACATTATCGGAATTCTGACCTAATGGAGATGACTTCTCTGTGGGAGTCTTCAGGAGATGCGGCATCCATAAAGCACAACAAGACAGAGCAAGGCCATGCAGTCATCACATGAAGGGTCAGTAGTCCAACCAATGTTAGTGACATACCAGAGAAGATGATTTATAAAAGGGAGGAGGGGGCCAGCTGTGAGTGGGTGCTTGTTAGCAGTGCCCGGGTAGAAGGGATTGGGCAGACGTTCACATTCAAGAGACTTACATGGTACCAGGAGCTGACCTGAGGGTTTTCCCAGGGTCCTCAAATATCATCCCATGCCCTAATCATATCCCAATGGCTACTAATTTAGGTAGCATGCATGAATATCACTAGAAAGAAATACTTTTTATTGTAAATTAACAACAACAAAAAAACCCTATTCTTGGATTAAGATTTGGTATGAGTTTGAATATCATGAATTTGTTTCTGAGAATGTGGTCACTTTGAGATGCATTGACAGCATTGATCCTCTCCAACCTGAAAAATCGGAGGCCTTCACCCTTGAGCTGGAAATGATGTCAAAGGACAGAGTGGCCAAACCTGGTGATCAGTGAGCTTCCTTTCCTGACACAATGCTGTATCTTTCCCAATACTTTCTTAAGATTCACTTAAATAATCACCTGTACCCAAATGCACACTCCCTAGCTCATCCTTAGTTCCTAAATTAGTACTGAACTACCCAGTACTCAAAGTTCTGCAACCACTTCCTTCTCCCCACCCATGCAGGCAGAACTTAGTATCATCCCTCTCTTCACTGGGCTGAATGGAGAGCTCCTGTTCAGGTCACCAGTGGCTTCCTCTCCCTGCCCTGTGCTCACCCGTCTGTGGACAGTGACATTGGGTCCCATTGAGTCCCATCCTGTCCTCCAAACCCCTTGTTTATATCAGAGCTCACGCTTCTGGAGTTTGAAGCCTAGCCTCTGAACACCTCACAAGGTGGCTAAACCTAGTCTCTGGAAACCAAATTTCTGGCTGTTCCATTCCCCCTGGTTCATGGTCTACACCCTATCTACACCCTCCTGCTTATCCCACTCTGAAGGGTGACAGTGTTTTTAAAACCCTGACCGAGACGTGACCTTGGACATTCCTGTCCGGCTCCCTCCTGCCCTAGACCACATCCTCAGCACTGTAGTTTCCTCCAATTTGCTTATCCTAGTGGGCAGACTAAGCACCATGTATGCCCAACTCTCTACCTCCCTACATGAGGAAAGTGGATTAGTGACAGCTTCATGTAGAAAAGTTTGACACACGTCATGAAGACGAATTAAGAAAGGGTAGAGGAGTACCTCCAAATAGAGGAAGTGGGGTAACACTGGCAGGGACTAGGCAATCACGAAGCTCAGCAGGAAATGGAAAGGAGATTAGTTTGTGGGGAGGCACCCGGATGGAAAGTGGGGAGGGGTGTGGCCGCCTGAACAGTGAGACTCTCACTGGGAGCTCAGGGCCCCTTCCTCAGCAGGAGGAGTGGTGGAGGGACCCTTCCTCCGGTTCTGCACAAAAGTACCAACAACTAACATTCATCTGTAGCTTATATAAAGATAATCAAACAGCCAATGTTAAGATGTCTGGTTTCAAATCTATGTCAGAAATGCTATGAAACTGGCAAACAAGCAACCTGAGCAATTGATTTCCATGTAGTATTTCCCTTTTTCACCCAGTGCAACAATGTCAACTATAGACCTGAGCCAACCAGATGATCTCTGTGAACCATTTCATAATTCAAAAGTAGAATTTAGTTTAATCACAAACACACACAGATACATTTACATGTGTATACGTAGTGTGCGTGTGTGTACACAATTTGCAATGGAGAAATTAAGTGAATAATAGCATGTGGTTACAAATTCAGAAATGTTGACAGTGCGAGCATTTTGCTTCTCAGCCACTAATTCCAGTTAAAGTGGTGATTAGAAAAGGAATCCTATCATTTACTGGAATCTGACTTTGGCAAACAAAATGAGGCAGGCTCATTTTGTTTGTAAAAGGCTTTTCAGAGGTCTTTTCTTAAATACAAAGGAACAAAGTGGATGTGAGTTCTAAAATCCCTTTGTCACCAAACAAAGAAAACAGACTAATATCTCTTATAAATATAGATGCAAAAATCTTTAACAAAATATCAACAAACCCAATCTAGCAACATATTAAATAGATTATGAATCATGTGTATATACTCCAAGCGGGATTTATCCCAGGAATGCAAGGTTAGTTTAACATCTGAAAATCAATTAATGTAATAAAAACATAACAATAAAATAAAAGATAAAAAATATATGAGCATCTACACTGGTACAGAAAAAGCATTTGACAAAAATTCAACCCCCTTCATGACTAAAAGGAACCCTGAAAAAAAACCCTGACAATAAGTGGTATCTTGGTCTGCTAGGGCTGCTATAACCAAATACCAAGGACTAGGTTGCTCAAACAATAGACATTTATTTTCTTACAGTTCCTGGATCTGGAAGTTCAAGATCAAGTTGTCATCATGGTTGGTTCTGGTGAGGCTTCTCTTTCTGGCTTGCAGATGGCCACCTTCTTGTGTTCTTATGTGACCTTTCCTCTGTGTGTGCATGGAGTGAAAGAGAGAGAGAGAGAGAACTGTGGTGTCTCTTCTTCTTAGAAGATCACCAGTCCTACTGGAATAACCTACTCTTATGACTTCATTTAACTTTAATTATCTCCTAAAAGGCCCTATCTCCAAATGTAGTCACGTTCAACATATGAATTTGGGATAGACACAATTCAGTCCATAACAAATGGGAAATTCCTGAGCCTAATAAAAGACAGCTGTGGAAAACCCACAGATAACAACTTACTTAATAGAAAGAAGACTACATCTTTCTCCCTAAGGTCAGGAACAGGATAAGGGTATCCACTCTTACCACTTCTATTCAATCGTGAGTTCTCAGGTAGAGCAATTAAGTAAGAAGAGGAAATAAAAGGTATTCAGTTTGGAAAGGAAGAAGTAAATATTTGCAGATGACATGATTCTATATATAGAATATCCTAAAGAATCCATAAACAAATATCAGAATTAATAAATGAGTCCAGCTAATTTGCAAGAAACAACATCAATACACAAAAATCAGTTGTGAATCCATACGCTATAATCCAAGAATGAAATTCGGAAAGCAATTCCATTTACAATAGTACAATAGTATCCAAAAAA